CTTTGAGAGAATTTGGGAATGCATATTCATCTGATCCATAAGAAAATCTGTGTTCTAGTGTACTAACTTATAGTGGGACAATATTTTAAAAGCCTCTATGCAATCCTAGCTGACTTTAGAACTAAATTAAATTAGTTAATATTTTACTAGAGTTTTAACCTAGGGATTTTAAAAATAACATTTACAATATAACATATATTGGTTTTGTTGTTGTTATGTGCCATCGAGTCACTTGCAACTCAACGACCCTATGTACAACAGCCCTAAACTCTGTTCTGTCCTGTGCCAATCTCATTGTCTCCGACACACTCATCTGGATTACCCCAGTCACTGAATCAATCCAACTCATAGAGGGCCTTCCCCTCCTGCGCCTGCCCTCCACCCTCCCAAGCATGATGTCCTTCTCCAAGGACAGGTCTCTCCTTACAACAGGACCAAAGTATGCCGACGAAGATACTCTGGTGGCTCAGTGTTGTGAAATTGCACTGCTAGCACAAAGGCAGTGTTTCGAATCCACCAGATGCACTGTGTGAGAAAGATGAGGAATTTCCCGCCATGTGATTTACTGCCTCTGAAAACCTGCTGGAGGGTCAGGGACAAGTGGTTCCAATGTGATGGGACAAAACGTCCAGCTTTAAGGAAGATTAAGGAAAATATTAGACAGATGCACAAAATGCATTAGAATTCTACTCATGCCTCATTTCTGAACATAGATAAATTCCAAGCACAAGGTCATTATGCAAAAATTGACATTATATGAAAAGTTAGGGTGATTACATCACATCACCCCTTCACTTGCACTGTGATTGTTTCCCCAGGTCTGCGCTAAACTAATCTGCCACTCCCACCTCTTTCTCCACATGCTGCCTCAGGAGAGTTTGGCATCCTGCAGTGGAGGGCTGCCTAGTGTTCCAGAACCTGGGTGGTCAAAGAGACACCTCTCTCCCTTTCATTATGACCTTCTCCCTTCCCTGTCCACACCATAATTTGAAAAATTTTCACTCCACTTTATTGCCTCATCCACTTGAAATATTTGAGGCAGAGGATTCTCTGTCCATGTGTGGAAGGGTCTAGATGCTTGGGAGGCCAAAGGGAAGGGCACTTTATGCAACTTGACAGGTCCCTCCACTAGTTCCTAGGAGCATCCCTGGGCTCTAGGTGTGTAACCCTGTTCATTTCTATTTCATGGCCCCAAAAGAATTGATGATCAGTACTTTCTCTGAATTCAGGATGACCAGGGCCAGCCTCTCTTAGTAACTTACCTGAAATTGCAGATGCTGTTGGATTCTCACCTACTGAACCACCTCTGCCCAGGTCACGTGTTATGTCCTGTGTTCACATTGAGAAAGCATAAGGGGCTACACATAAGGTTCTAGACATCTTACTTTGTGGTCCCAGAATTCCTACGTACCTGAGTACCCTACCTCAGGGCTCAATCTAATCATAGTTCATCCCATCCCATTTCTACCTACCACAGAATTGGGTCAGATCATAAAGTCCTTCTTTTTTCCTGACCCCAAAGGTGGCCTACCTTAAAGATACTGGATACCGTTGCCCCAGCCTTGGCTTTTTGTGGACACCTGCCCAGCATCGTCCCATCTCCACTGATCCCATTTCATCAACTGCTCCGACTGACTCTACATGGTCCTCTTCCAGCCACAGCCCCCACTCTGGGTCTTGATTGTTCAGGGAGATTATGTTACCTCTTCCTCTTCTATCTTGTTGGAACCAACTCCTAGCTGACTCTCCAGTGGGTTCCCAGAGAATATGAATGGCATAGGAGGAGACTGCACATCTTTCTCCATCAAAGCTGATAGATTAAAATTGTTTGCCTTTATACTGGCTTCCATTCCATAAGCGCGGGGGATCTGCCAGTCTTGGACTCTCATAGGAATCTTGGTACTAGTTACTGCAAAACATATGTTGTTAACATGCAAAATTTTGGACGAGCAGACATTAAGTGAGAAATTGATGCTAGTGACGTAGTAGAAGGGAGTTGGGCTGCCAATCAAAACACAGGTAGTTCAAATTCGCCAACTTTTCCATGAAATTAAGATGGGTAGTCTCCTCTTTGCAGTTTACAGCCTCTGAAAACCTACAGGAGGGTCAGCTATGAGTGGGCAATGAATGAAATTTTTGGAGAGATGTGAAACAATATAAATACTTTAGTATTAAATCTACTCTATTGTGTTTGCTCTTCAAATCTAGCCTTACTCAAGGGATAAAATACAGTATTGTTGCTGTTGTTATGTGCCGTCGAAATACATTATTACTGTACCGAGAAAGGACAATTAGTACAACAAGCTTGTTGTAAAATGTAATAGTGTTATTATTTAAAACTAGGCCTTTTTATACTTTACTCATTTGCAAATTCAGTCTTAAAATTATAAACGTGTATGCATAAAAATTTATCTTTATATTTTATTTTGGTCATTTCCCAGAAGTAACTGTATAAATCAATAAAGAAAATGGCAAACATTGCCTTACTAAAGCTGTTATTATTTCATGAATATTTCCATTTTCTAATGAAAATTGCTTAATTCTAAGGCCAAGGTATATCCAAGATGCAAAATTCTATCTGAAAACTGTCTATTAGTAAATTATTAGCTTTTCTATTAATTAGAAATATATCTCCAATTGAATAAAATACTTGTGTCTTTATTACAAATATAGAAGCAAACATAAGAAGATATTAATTAACTATATTTGGAAAAGTGAAGCTAACACCTAACTTGCTAAACTTCCAGAGGGTTCTCTTACATTATTTTTCCTCTTAAGATTTTTATTTGAGAAGCAAATGAGTTAATATTGGTCAATCTGGATGTGATATCAAGGGGTTAGTGTTCAAACTGTCTTTCCTAGCCACCAACTTATACTTGAGAAGGTACTTTAAATAAAATGTATAAAGTAACTGTGATTTGATTAGTGGGATTTTCCCATGCTACTAAGTTAAACTGAGTGGAATTAAGAGTAAAAATGGGAATACACTACCAGTAAAGAAGAAGAAGCATAGCATAGCATAGCATAGCATAGCATAGCATAGCATAGCATAGCATAGCATAGCATAGCATAGCATAGCATAGCATATGTGGTCAGAGATTCTTGTGCCATTCAGATTGGGATCTACATGAAAGCAGCAGCCCCCTCAGCAGAGAACCAGAGACCAGCTTGAGACAGAATTGACTTGGGATTGCTGTCCAGTGGAGCCAGAGCCAGAGGTCTTCACTCAGTTTTGCTGAAGGACTAAGGCCATCCTCAGGCTGATTACTCTCTTTATTATAACACTTTCCTGCACCCCATAAATATATTGAGTGGATTGAGAAATTATGGTACATTCATACAATGAAATACTACGCAGCACACAGAGGCAATGGTTTTGTAAATTACTACCTAGCTTGGGAGGAACTGCAGAGCATTATGCTGAGTGAACTAACTCAGTTCGTCAAGGACAAATATTGTATAAAACCATTATTGTAGAATGAGTATAAGGATCCATGGGGGGAGGGTGAAATCAAAGTGATGGGAATGTATGTGTGTGCCTGGGATTAATAAGGGGGTTGTTCAATTTTATGGGTGGGGAGGTGAATGAAATTGGAAGAATACGGTCTGAAAAACAATATTTTAATTTTGTAAATTAACTAGTATAATAAAAAAAAGATGAAGTAAAAAAAATATACACACAGAAACAATAGATGACAACAATTAATTATAAAAAAATGTTTTCCCAATTCAGAGACAGATTTTATAGAGAAGTGTCAGCCTTACTGTATTCCTATTCAAGACAGAAGGACAAAGTGGCATGAACTTATCTTGCATGAAAACACAGAATGGCGCCAATCTGGTGAACAGAAATGTTCTGTCGGATTTTTAAATTGAAGAGAGTTTCTTTCTCCTTTTTCTTCAGCTTCCATTTAGACAGTCCTGTCTCTGGGAATTACTATTTGTCCTTGAAAGATGTTTGTGACTGCGTGTATGTGTGTGAATGTGATTAAATAGTTCCCTACTAGATGAGCCAGATAAAAGAGGAAACATATTTGCATCTCACACTGATGGACACATTTTGAAAAAGATGCAAATTGGAATATCAAACCACACACACTGGCCTGTTCTGCTCCAATACTGTGGCAAATCCCACCCAGAATTTTGTTTGCTATACCCACTTACTGAGTAACACCTCAGAACACCTCAGGTTTGAGGAAATGTACACCGGCACAATGAGCTCAGGAAGACATTAATTCTCAGATCACTTGCCAAATGAAATCTCAGGAGTTAATGTGGGGTAAGACAAGCTCCCTCAAAGGCCTGGGCGACTTAAGAAATCCTTTGTGCAAGTGCATGGCACAAAATAAACTATGAAGGTAGATGAAATAATTCACTGCTCAAAAAAACTGTTAAGTAAATGTTAGAGAAAGAATCATTTTAGAGTGGATTATCTAAAATTACCAATCCTTAACTTCAAATTCCCTATGTTTCTAATCTCAAACTGTAGTCAATCAAAATTATTAATCCATTTACTCTTTGTTGTTCTTAAACACGTTCTTCAAATCTGGTACTTTTGGTAGACTGAGCATAATTTTCAAATACAATATATTATTCAGTAGTAGATTTTAACTTACTTAAACAATATTGGTCAGATGGAAACCACTGTTTTCTGATGATAGACCATCTGTCAAGAACTTTAATTATGTCAGTTCTGATTTCTTATTAGTTATAAGCATATTTTATTATTAAGCCAAATGGGATAAAAATAATAGAATAAATCTATAATGAGATAACATTTTAATTTCACCATTTATGTACAAACACAAGTTCATAAAAACACATCACAAACAGTAAAAGTATTAGTTAATATATGTATAGGTGCATAGTTTCATGCTCACATGTTTTTAAGTATTGTATATATTAACAAATTTCACAATACATTTGTTATTCTTGAACAAAAAGAATCATTAAAAGCCATCTAAAAATCTTGTAAGATATAATAATAAATCACAACTTGTCAACAACAAAAAATAGTGAATATTTAGAAATACGTGGTATTCACTTGGGTGTTTTGTTTTAACATTTTGAATTTGAAGCCACAATATCCACAGCACACAAGAACCCTGCCAGCATGTATTCATTTCAGTAAGAAGGAAGCACTGAAACATTGAATGGGGCAGGTTTAGCTACTTCAATCACTGCTGATGGAAGACTTCAAAACACACTGTAGAAACTTTGAGAAAATGTCACGACTGGGCACATTGGAACAGAGCACTGGTAAAAGATGGAACAGCAGTCAGCAGATCTCAGGAAGCTGGGAGAAGAGGGACTTCTTAGGCTTCAGGTTCATAATCTTGGTACCCTTCCTAATTTTAGGAAAACCACAAAGACACTTTTAGAAGTATTCTTAATCAAGAATTTATTGTAAACAAAATAAGGCATGATTTATTACATAATAAAGGTTATACTCACAATATTTCTAGAGTTATTATGCTACAAACAACATAACCTCATTCTTAATTGTTATGTACCATCAAGTTGAAACGGACCCATTCCTGACCAGCCTGTGGGTTGTCAGAGGCTGTTAATTGCAAGGGAGGTTACTGCCCATCTTTCCTCTGCAGAGAAGCTGGTACACTTGAAACATGTGCCTTTGGGTTGCAGTGCAGCTTCTTACAACTAGGACACCAGAGCTCTTAACAGATGTGTTATAATCTGACCACTGGGAAAATTAATCTACGTTATTAAATGGAAACTACCCAAGCATTTGCATTATATTCTACATTCTAGTGCCATTAGACAATAGTACAGTCTACTGCTCCAAGAGAAACTGATTGATCTATCTGGTTGTCAGTTTCATCTAGTATTAAATGGGAGAACAGTATTATGTGGACTCTTTCATTGAGCTCTGGTGGCCTACTGGCAAGAAGCTGCACTGTAATCCTAAAGGCATGTGGCCTGAGTCCATGAGCTGCTCTGAGGGAGAAAGATAAGTGATCTCCCCCCCCCCATATTTCATCTGTTTAATTTGATGATTGGTCTCATCATATTTCTTTATTTTTGAAAATGAAAGTTTATAGTGACCTTGGATTTCCATTCATTCATTGTTGGACATTTTGCTCCCTGTCCATGCCCTAATTTGCTTTTGTCTTGAGGAAAAAAAGTATTTTATTGGTGCATAATTCCCCACACCCACCCCAGTCCACTTTACTATGCAGCTCTTATTCTGGACTTTTGTCATGCAAATACCTCATCTGTTTAAAAGCAGTGTACATTTTTTATCCCCTCTTCTTAGTTTCCTCCCAACCCCCATGGCAGCCCTGTTTTGTAAGAGTAGCATTATTCAGTATTTGTCCTTTTGTGATTATGATATATCACTCAGCATAATGTCTTCCAGGGTCACCCATTTTGTATAATTTTCATGAGTTCCTTGTTTTTCAGTGCTGCATAGTATTCCATTGTGTGAATATACCACAACTTCTCTATCCATTTGTTTGTTGATGGGCACGTGGGTTGTATCCATATCTTTGTTATTGTGAACAATACAGCAATAAACATGGGATGCATATATCTGTGTGGGTGGCAGTCCTGGTTTATTTAGGGTATATTCCGAGTAGTGGAATTTCTGGGTCAAATGGTATATCTGCTTGCAACTTTTTGAGAAAGTGCCATATTGCCTTCCATAATGGATGCACCATTTTAATCTCCCACCAACAGTGAATAAGGGTTCTAATTTCTCCACAACCTGGCCAGCATTTATTGTTTGCTGCTCTGTTGAATTTTGCAATTCTTACTGGGATGAAATGATATCCCATAGTTATTCTGATTTGCATCTCTCTTAGAGCTAGGGATTTTGAACATTTCTTCATGTGTTTGTTCTCCATCTAAATGTCTTTTTTGGTGGTGTCTGCTCATATCTTGTGTTCATTTTGTGATTGGGCAATATCCTCTTGTGTGATTAATTGACTTTTAAAGCCTACTGGAGGGTCAGCTATGTTCCAACTCAATGGTACACAGCAACAATAACAAAGCCTCTTTCAGGGTTGTTGTTGTTGTTGTTTGGTGCCATGACTCAGTTCTAATTCACAGCCAACACATGTACAAGAAAACAAAGCCCTGCCTTTTCCTCTAACTTCCTTACAATATTTGCTGTAGATACTTTAATTGTTGAAATAAAACAGTGTCATTTGAAGGCCATGAACATTTTCTGTGCTTTCACTCTTTCAATTAAAAATATCTTCTAAACTGAAGTGTTTAATGAGTATTGCTATTCCAGAATCCCTAGTCCCTACCATATGTGAATGGCATTCACAATAAAAATATTAATGACCTTCACTAGTCCGGCTAGCTCTGTCAAAGAATACCTTTAATAAAGTCAAGATACTCTCCAAAAGAAAAAAAAATACCACAAAAAAACTCCCATATACTTAACTAGTTGAATACAGTAAAAAAAAAAAAGCAAAAGTTTTCCTGTTATTGTGAAATGTTGCTGAGTCAAATACACTCAGAGCAACTCTGTCAAAAACAGATCTGAATCTTGTCCTATCCTGTGCCATCCTCATCATCTCTGATACATCATCTCTGATATTGAGCCCACTGTTGCAGTCACTGCTCAATCCATCTCCATGAGGGTTTTCCTTGTATTCTACAATTTGTAAGTAGCCCTGGTGAAACAGTGCTTAAAAGTATGACTGCTAATTAAAGGGTTGGCAATTCAAACTCACCAGCTAATTCATAAGAAGATGTAGCAGCTGCTTCTATATAGATTACTTGGAAAACCTAAAGAACATATATTATTCTGTAACTCCAAAACTCAACTCAATTCTATAGAGTCAATATCAGTTTAGAGCTGACACTTCACTGGGTTTTCACACAAGAGGAGTTCCACGGAGCAGCTGGTAGATGTGAATTGCCTGCCTGAGCTAAGCAGTGCAACTCCTTATCCAGTAGCCAGTGGAGTTCCCTTGTATAAGGTCTTTGTAAATGGAAATAATTTGATTGTAATGGATTTATTCAATGTGTCTTTGGCCTTGTTAAATCTGTCATAGTATATCCATTCCCTAATTTTTTAATCACATGCAAAATCATTAATTGTTTCTCAGTAAAATTACTGATTGCTTCTCAGACATACTCATATGCATCCTTGTATCTGCATAACTTGGCTTCTGATATTACCTTATGCTGGAAAGTATGCCCTTCATATTGACCTATCATGTTCTTTTAAAACACTCTCCAGCTTAGATTAACACTATCTTATCTACAAATTTTTGTCAATTGATTTAAGCAGATCTTTTAAAATGTTAAGTTTGGTGAACACAGCAAATTAGGTTCCTACTTAATAATTTATATCCTTTCTGTCTGAAACAATGGACTCAAGTATGTCAGGGAAGATAAGGATGGTGCTGGATAGATAGGACAGGGTTCAGATCTTTTGTTCACTGACTGGGTCATTATGAGTCATACTTGATTCAGTGGCCCACAACAACACTTACTTTTCAGTGACAGTGGTTAAATTTGTCACGATTTGGCAGTATTCTCATTATTTCCATCCTGGTTAAATTTTCATGAATCTATCTTCTCTGCCTTGCTTCCCTTACTTCCTTTTCATTAGGGTATACTTTGATCATTTGATCCCACACTGTTGTTGTTGTTGTTGTTATGTGTCATCGAGTGAGCCTATGTACGGCAGCCCTAAATATACTCTATTCTGTGCTAATCTTATTGTCGTTGACACACCTACCCCCATAACCCCAGACACTGAACCAATCCATTTCATTGAGGGTCTCCCACTCCTGTGCTGTCCCCTACTCTCCAAAGCATGACATCCCTCTTCCGAGGAGTGGTCCCTCCTCACAACATGTCCGAAGTATGTCAGACAGAACTTCAAAATCCTTGCCTCTGAGGAGCAGCCTGGTCTCACTCTCTCTAGGATGAAACTATTTGTTCTCTTAGCAGTCCATGCTCCCATATGTTGTTGTTGTTATGTGCCGTCGAGTCGCTTGCAACTCATAGCGAACCTATGTACAACAGCCCTAAACTCCGCTCTGTCCTGTGCCAATCGCACTGTCTCTGACACTCCCATCCCAATTATCCCAGTCACTGAATCAATCCACCTAATAGAGGGCCTTCCTCTCCTGCGCCGTCCCTCCACCCTCCCAAGCATGATGTCCCTCTCTAAGGACCGGTCTCTCCTCACAACATGTCCAAAGTATGTCAGGCGAAGCCTCAGAATCCTTGCCTCCAAGGAGTCACCCGGTTTAACCCTTTCTAGGACAAATCCATATTGTAGGCTGCAGTCCTTGACCCTCTGCAGCAGGTGCTTCAGGTCCTCTTCAGTTTCAGCAAGCAGGGTTGTGTCATCTGCATAACGCAGATTGTTGATAAATCGCCCACCAATCTTGAATCCACATTTCTCCTCATAGAGCCCAGCCTCCCAGATAACCTGTTCTGCATATAGGTTGAAAAAGTATGGAGATAGGATGCATCCCTGGCGTACACTCTTCCCAATTTTGAACCATGCAGTGTTCTCTTGCTCTGTTCTGATGACTGCCTCCTGGTCCAAGTATAAGTTTCTCATTAGAATGATCAAGTGTTCTGGGATTCCCATTCTTCTCAGAGTCAGCCATAGTTTGTTCTGATCTACACAGTCAAATGCCTTTGCATAGTCAATGAAACACAGATAGACATTCCTCTGGTATTCCCTGCTTTCAGCCAAGATCCATACAATATCTCTAGTACCACGACCCCTTCTAAACCCAGCCTGGACTTCTGGTAGTTCTCTGTTGATGTGCTTTTCCAGTCGTTTTTGGATAATCTTCAGTAAAATCTTGTTTGCATGTGAAATCAGTGAGATTGTTCTGTAGTTTCCACATTGTGTTGGGTCACCTTTCTTTGGGATAGGAACAAATATCGATCTCTTCCAGTCAGTTGGCCAAGTGGTTGTTCTCCAGATTTCTTGGCACAACTAGAGAAGGGGTTAAGGCATCCGACTAGCTGAATGCTGGGCAGCTTAGAGGCAAGTCTCAGACCCCTCCCATCTTCCCAGGTAATCGAAGACGCAAAAATCGCGCGACATTCATTTTGGCAGGCTGCTCAGAGAAGGGGTTAAGGCGTCTGACTAGCTGAAAGCTGGGCAGCTTAGAGGCCAGTCTCAGACCCCTCCCAACTTCCCAGGTAATTGAAGACGCAAAACCCGATGCTCCCATATAGATGATTTTTTAAAAAAGAAGCACAGGTAATATTATTTATTCCATGACTCAGCAGAGTTTATTTTGTAGTTGAAAGGTCAGCTACAGGAGTGCATTCAGTTCCAAGTTTACAGTGTATATCTCAGGTTGATATTGTCAGAGAATTATTTACTCTCTCA